GGTGATGGTGATGATGGTGGTGATGGTATGATGGTGGTGGTGATGGTGATGATGGCGATGATGGTGGTGATGGTGGTGATGGGGCAGAGCTAAGAGGCAACAGGAAAGACAAGGGGTCACTGCCTGCACAGGTGCTGGCCAGGAGCAGGGTTGCCCACTACACATGGGGCCTGAACACTAAAGAAGAGGTGGGAAATGCCATAACAACATACAGCTGCGAAAAAATCTAGATATTCATCAGCAGAGATGGATAAACAAATCATGGTGCGTTCCGCAGACGAGGCAGATTCCACTCAGCACAGTTTCTACCCGTAAGTGAGGAGTGCACAGCATGGAGTGTGTGGTCCGGTCCTGCCGGTGTAAGAAATCTGTTTACACGCACACGCACACGCACCGCACAGACCCTCTGTGGCGGACGTGCAGGTGGCTGGGCGTGGTGGGCAGAGACTGGGTTGGGACGGAAGGGAGACAGGTGTCTCCCGGCAAGCCATCTAGGATGTGACTTTTTTTGGACCATGTACACTGCCTCCTCTTTCCAGAAACTCGCAGTAATAGAAATCAGCCTCGGGCCGGGTGCGGGGCGGGCTGGCTCACCCTGCAGCAGCTGCCGCTGGTCCTGGATGATCTGCTCGCAGAGCAGCCGGTGCTGGTGGTAGCGCTGGATCACGAAGTCCTTCTGGCAGAGCAGGTTCTTCCTGCACAGGCTGCTGGCCTGCAGCTCCGTGTTCTCCACCTCCAGCTCGTGGGCCCTGCACAGCAGCCGCAGCACCTCCCGCTGGTCCTCGCTGACGACCTGCGCGGGCAGCAGCTTCTCCATCTGCGAGGCCTTCTTCTTGGCGTTGGCCAGACGCTGCTCCAGCCCAGCCTGGCGGGGAGACAGCATTCAGGGCGGGTGCCCAGGGTCTCTGTTCCCCCGCTGCGCGTTCTCACGGGCTGGGATTTGCAAACTACACTCAGGGAAACACACAGGATTGGCTCTGAGGCCACGAGGCCATCACCCTGCATTAACCATGCTGGTTACTTTCTGTTCTGACACTTTCGCATCTGGGCCCTGCTGACCCTGCAGGGACTCCTTCTCCTGGGGGTGTCCAAGTCCTACAGACAGTGAACCCCGCTCCCTCAGGCATGCTTTCAAATGCAAACCAGCCAACCCAGAGCCCGCCCCCCACCCCCTCCTCCATGGGCTCCCACATTCTAGGCCACTGTCCCCCTGCCCTCGTCACCAGGGACAGCCCCTGTGCCCCAGAGCCTGCTGGAATGACCCAAACTAGCTGGCCCCAAGCCTGCTCACTCTGCCCTGTCCATTCCTTCTGCAGAAGCCACGACGCCCCACCCTCCGCCTCCTGACCCACCCCGGTGCACGGCACCCCGTGCCCCGTCCTCTGGGGAGCTGTGAGCGACACACCGTCTCTCCAATGGCATCATCTCCTGACCGGCGGACATTATCGCACCTCGAATGTCCTGTTAACACATGTGACGTTTTAGAACACACTCCCTGGGCCCGCCCCTCACCACTGGGTCTGCTCTGCCGTGGGAAACCGGTGCTGCCCGTTTTCACACTATGAAGCCTTCGTAAGCCGCTTCTGGTCCTCAGAGTCTTCTCTGAGGCAGTGCCCTTGCAGCCCCGTGTGGCAGCCCTCTCGCCTGCACCTCAGGTCCTGGCTCTCTTGAGCCAAAGCAGGACATGAGAAGGAGCAGGATGGGCCCAGCTCGCCCACTACCGCCCCGGGGACTGCTCCCCACCAGCGGGGGGCCTGGGAGACCTGCCCGGGCCCTTCACCTCACTCAGTGCGTCAGTCAGGGCTCCGGAGAGACAGAAGCAACAGGAGAGAGAAGCACACGTGTATATGTCTTCACGTCTGCTTGAGTATATGTGTGTCTATGTACGTTTATGTGAGATAATATATGCACGTACACATTTGTGTACGCGCACATGTATACACACACACATACACACACACACAGAATTCTTTTAAAGAACTGGGGCTGGTGAGTCCAAATCGCATAGGATAGGCCAGTAGGTTGGAAACTCAGGCAGGAGCTGATGCTACAGTCTTGAGGCAAAATCCTACCTTCTCTGGGAAAGCTGAGTTTTAGCCGGCAAGGCCTTGCAGCTGACTGGGCGAGGCCCGGGCACACCACCGGGGTGCTCTTCACTTACAGCCGACTGAGCACTGGTGTCGGCCGCCCTGCCAAACTCCTTCCCAGCTGCACCTCGATTCACATTTGATCAAATCACTGGGTGCCCTGGCCGGGCCAAGCTGGCAAAAAAAGTCACCACCACCCCACGTAAAGACACCCAGGCGCTCAGACAGTAACTCTCGGGCTGGAGCTGCCTGCGCGCCCAGCCCCCAGATCACGTCCCCAGGAGCAGGTGGGATAACAGTCCGGTGCAGCCCACGAGGACGTGCCCCTGCCTTTGGTCCTTCACCCCCTGGGATCGAGACGGGACCGCTCTGGGGGGAGTCGGCTCCGCTCCCCCAGCAAGACCCTGCTCTCCTCCCGGGGGTCCTGCCCGAGTCCCCGGCCGAATCAGCTGCCCCTCGGCCAGCTCCCCAGCTCCCCGTCCGCCGGCTGCCATCCGGCTGCCGTACTGAATTGTGACTGGCCGTGTTTGGGTCTCTTCCCGGGAGCCTGACAGCCTAAGTTGCAGAGGGCGTCTTACACGGTTTTCCGTCCTCTGGGCCTGGCGTTCGACTGGGCTCTTAAAACACCGATTTGCCACTGGCTGGCTGATCGCTTGTCGGCTTGATTCACTAATGGACCCACATCCTCACGCTACCTCGCATCCCAATGTCTAGATTTGGCTCTTGAGGGCCCTGCTCTTCGCTGAGGCACACCATCGGTTTGAGAAAAAGGCATTTTTCTTATTTTTAAATGTTGGAGGATTTTTGAAGTGAGATCAGGTAATCTCCAGATTGCTGCAGGCAGATGCAACAATATTAAAAGGTCTTTGGTTTGGCAAATAGCTTGCAAGTGAAATAAATGCTGCCTGCTTTTAGCAACATGACATCATCAGACGCCTTCTCCGCCTGCCCGAAAATACTCCTGCTGATGTTTGACTAAGGGGCTGAAGTAGTAGCCAGATACACTGGTGTTTTCCCCAAACTCTCCGTGGCACGCCCAGCCCATCACTGCCTGCAGGGAGGCCACCAGATCTCTAGCGGCTGTGAAAGCAGCTCCTGTAAGCAGCCAGCCCTTCTCAGGAAAAGGGACTGTGAGGAGGCCCCCTCCAGATGGGACCCCCGGAGTCTGGGGACCCCCTCTGGCCACGTTCCTCGGCCCTGTGCCACGTGCTGGAGACCAGACTCCGGAGGACTTGGGGGACGCTGACCGAGGGCGCCGAGCGGGATTAAAGTGCCCGCCCACGTGGCGGGACTGCAGGGCCGCTCGGAGCGGGAGGCTTTGCCCTTCCAGGGGGAGGAGGCGGCCTGCCGTCCCCAGACGGGCAGATAGGGGTCTCAGTGGACACCACACCACCATCCTGCCCCATTTCTGCCGCCTCCTGCCCTGTGCCCAGCCCCGCAGTGTAGCCGTAACTCTAGCTGAAAGGGGCATGGACTTTGGAGTCAGGCTCAGGTCAGGTCCCAACTCTGCTCCGCCTGCTCTCTGGGGGTTTGGGACAATTTATCTCATCCCCCTGAGCCCCGTCGTTCACATTTATAGAATGGTTGTGATTGGCTGTACACAAGTGACTACTGTCAGAGGGCCAGCGCACTGGCTGCCATAGGTATTAGTAGCTGTCACCACACTGCTGCGACCGTGGACATGCCCGGTCCCTCTCCCCTACCTTGAGGGCCGCCGTTCTCCGCTGCTCGGCCAAAAGCATGCTGACCTCCTCTCTGGCCAGGACCACCTCGTGTGGCTCTGCAGACTCGCCCTCGCCCCCGTCTGCCTCGGCCTCCACGGGCTCCTGGTCCCTCCCGGGTGTGCGGGCCCTGCGCACGAGGTGGTGGGTCCTCTCTCGCTCCCAGCTGCAGCCACAGCAGAGTGGTCAGGGTCAGAGGGCAAGCCGCCCGGGCTGGGAGTCCCGGCGGCTCCCTTTCCCGAGTCCCTCTTGGCCCCCCGCTGGGCTACTTGCAGGCGTGGGCATGAAAATGGGGCAGAACTGGGCCTGCTATCCGATCTCTTCTCTGCTTATGAAAAACAAGAAGGCGTGAACACGAACTGGGAGGAAGTAAAGAAGCAGCAAACACTTGCGGTGGGGTCGCCGAGGGACCGAGCTCAGGACCTTGCAGCCAGGCCTCCCCGCCTCCAGCCCCAGACGGGGCCGGGGCACCCAGGCGTCCACGGCCACCTGCCAGGTACACGCGCCCCCGTACCCTCAGCTGTGAAACTCGATGACAACAGCACACCTGGGGCTCTGGGAGGACTGCCTGGGGTCACCCGGCTCAGGGCAACACCTCCAAAGCTGCGCATCGGGCGCCAGATCCAACCCAAAGTACAATGAGGATTGTGTGGAAACTGGTGAGGGGGGAGCCCCTGAGGGGGCAGGGCTGGGAGCAGTGGCACCTACTTCTACCCGAATTCCTGCAGTGCGGGCCACGCCGAGCGTGTAGTTAAGAAAATGAGCAGAAAGGAGGAGGAGAAATGGAAGTCACAGTGCCGGGGCCCGTGAATAGGGTGGCCATGCGTCCTCGTTTGTCGGGGGATCCCGGTGACACCTGTCATCCCAGTGTGATTGCTAACAGCACCCTTCACCCCCCAGTGCGTCCTGGTCTGGACGGTAAATTGCACGGCCAGTCCCTCTGCACATGGTCAGTTATTCACAGGGGGTATGACCCTTGAGTGAGTGTGGACTCGGGGAGAGAGCTCCAGCCTAGTGGGCGCACAACCTCGGGCAAACCTGCATCCCGTCTGACCTCAGTATCCTCGCCGCAAAATGGGATTAACCCTAACCCGCCAGGGCTGGCCCTGGACTCTGCCTTGGCTGAAGTCCCCCTTGGGGACCTGAAGGCAGTAGAGGGAGGCTGGACAACAGCCAAAGAAGGAGGTCCCCTCGGAGCTTCCCCGCCCCCGGCCCCACTGGCCTCCCCTCCCCGGGCTGGGCGGGCTGGCTCACTCTGCGATGGTCAGCAGGTGGCGGGACGTGTCTATGTGCAGCTCGACGCTGGTGTTCTCCAGCTCCAGCAGGCTGCGCCTCATCTCCAGCTGCTCCTTGAAGGCTCCGATGAGCTGTGCCCGGACCTTGTTCATCTGCAGGCGGCTATCCTCCTCTGCGTCAGGAGGGGGGATCGTGGCTGGGGGCAGGAAGAGAGCCAGCTGCACCGGGAACAGGGCCACCCAGGCCAGGGTTGACTCCACGCTTGCCCATCAGCAAAGGATCCGGCCCAGGGAGGGGCTTTATATACAGTGTGGATGGCTGGGTGGACGAAGGGTGGAGGGTGGGTGGGTGGATGGATGGATGGGTAGATGATGGATGGATGGATGGATAATGAATGGATGGACAGATGGCTGGGTGGATGGATGGATGGATAGGTAGGTGGGTGGCTGGATGAATGAATGAGTAGATGATGGATGGATGGGTGAATAAATGGGTGGATAATTTAGACGGAGCTAGACTCTCTTTGCCTGGGTTGGGGTCAGGTGGCCTGGATTTGAGTCTCAGGAATCCAAGGAGGAGTGGGGCTGGGCTAGCCATCTCGCCTCAGACCTCACTTCCTCAGGGAAACACTTCTGGACTCTCAGTCTGGGTCCATCCTTCCTCTGATAACATCTCACCTTCTCCTTGCAGGTCCTCTGCATACTGATAACTAGGTAACATTGTGTGGTAAATGTTCGGTACCTGCCTTTCCTGCTGGAATGTCAGTTCCACAGAACAACACTAGTCTTGTCTTTCTGTCCCCATGGGGAGTTCCTCCTAACAGTTCTCGGGTAATTAGTCAATGGCTTTCCCCGCCTGCCCTGGTAGAACGTGCCACTGTGGTCACGTGTCTCGGTGTTCCCAGCCTTGACATCGGTGGTCAAGGGGTCCCTTTTCCCTAAACGTCAAGCAATCTGGGATTGGTGAAATAAATTAGGGTCCATCCGGATGACCAAATCACTGCACGCATTAAAACAAAGCTTCAGGGGAGTACACAGTACCCCAGTAGTGATCCCAGCAGAGCCCCGCACACCAGCACCCCGCTGCCGCCCGAGGCTTGCCACAGCAGGACCCAGGGGGAGCCTGTCATGCCCTCAAGGCTCACCATGAGACCCCCTTCCCTCCGTGGCACTGCCCAGCTTCTCCATTAGGCCCATCAAGACGAGTCCCAATAACTAAGAGGCCAGCAGGGTGAGAGCCGTTACGGCATGCATCCCTGTTGACCCCTGACCCCAAAGAAGCCCAAGCTTCCTGGTCGTCACCTAGCTTCATAGATTTTCTACAACAGCCCCCTCCAGCCCCCCAGACCCTCTGCTGGCCCCAGGGGACGCCATCTGTCATCAACCACGGCCCCTTTTCTTTGAAAGTTTCCTTCACCCTTTTGCTCCACCAGAAATCTGAGCCCCAAATCTACCACCAAGAAAGAGGCATCCGTGTGTGCCAGGAGGCTGTGTGCCTGGAAAGCCCCGAAGTGCCCATCGCAGCACGGCCATCCTATGGGCACTCTGCAGCTGTCACAGGGATGAGGTGGCCCCACACGTGCTGCTGGACGGCCTCCAAGGCTCATCCTTGGACGAGAGAAGCAAGTTAAAGAAGAACAGCTACGATAGTCCGACGTCATTCATGCGTAGAGCCAGCGCCGGCCACCCCCGTGGACATGCATGCAGGCAAACCGTGCGCCTCTCTGGGTGCAGTTGTGTCCACAGCGCTGCACAGAAAAAGGCCCAGGAAGGTGCACATCAAAGCGATAGCAGTGACCTTGAGGAATTAGAAAAAGAACAAACAACCCAAATATAGCTGGAGGAGGGGGAGCAAGGGCGGAGCAGAGACGCACGAAAACGACGGGAAGGAGCAACGAGGCTACGAGCTGGCTTCTTGGAAAGATAAACCAAACAGACAAGCCTTTAGCCAGACTGACCGAGAGAAAGAGAGAGAGAGACTCAGATAAATAAGATCACAGATGAAAGAGGAGCCATTACAACTGGTACCACAGAAATACAGAGAATCGTGGTTACCATGATCAACTACACACCAGCAAGCCGGCTGGTCAAGAAGAAAGGGATAAATTCCTAGAAACATACAACCTATCAAGCCTTCATCATGGAGAAACAGAAGATCTAAGCAGACCAGCAATGAGCACAGTGATTCAATCAGTGGCCGGAAACCTCTCGACAAAGAAAAGCCCAGGGCCTGACGTCTGCACGGGTGAATTCTGCCAAGCATTCAAAGAACGATTAACACCAATCCTCAAACTCATCCAAAAAGTTGAAGAGGAGGGGATACTCCCAAAGTCATTTTACAAAGCCAGCATTCCCCTGGTACCAAAACCAGACAAGGACGCTACAAGAAAAGAAAGTACAGGCCAGTATCTCTCACTGATACAGATGCACAGAAGTCTCAACAGAACACTAGCGGCCCGAGTCCCGCGGCAGCTCAGAACACCACGCACCATGGGCACGTGGGTGCAAGGACGGTTCCACGTACGCAGGGCAGTGATGGCGATGCCCACGCGGACAGGATGGAAGACAAAAATCATACGATCAACTCAACAGATGCAGGGAAAGTGTTTGAGAAAACCCAGAGTCCTTTCATGACAGAAAACTGTCAACAAAGTAGGTGTGGGAGGAACGCACCTCAACATGACAAGGGCCACATGTGACACGCCCACGGCTAACGTCACACTCAGTGGTGACGGGCTGACGTCTTTTCCTCTCAGGTCAGGAGCACGCCCGGGGCGCCCACCCTCACCCCCACATCGAACACGTACTGGCAGCCCCCGCAGAGCAGCCGGGAGGGAAGAGAAGAGGCCCCAGATCAGAGCGGAAGAAGCAAACCTGTCTGTTTGCCAGCGACGCGATTTTACGCATAGAAAATCCCAGATGTCACAAAAGCTGTCAGTCACGTCTCAGTAAGGCTGGAAACGAATGACGGTGTGGCATCTCAGGCTCTCAGGACGGTCCTCCCCAGGGCGGCTCTCCTCTCTCCTGTCCCCTCTGACCGCTGAGGCTGAGGCTCCTCCCGGCCCCTCGGGGCGTGTGTTCTCCCCAGTGTTGTTCTCAGAAGGCAGTGCCCGCGGCCCAGTGCCCACCGCCAGCGCCCCTGAAGGCAGTGCCCGCGGCCCACCGCCAGCACCCCCTCGGGCGCAGCCCGCTCCCCCTTCTGCACGGACAGTCTCCACACCAGCCTTCTGAGTGTCTCCTCCCACTTCTCTCTCATCACTCCTGGTGACTCCAAAATCCTCAGACAATCCAGCCACCACCCAAGGGCCTTCGTTCCTTGACCTCCTGTCCTCTGGACCTGCTGCCCTCCCTCCCCTGACCAGCGCCCCCCAGCCCAGCCCTGGGCCGGCCGTCCGCATGGCTGCAGGCCCCCCGCCCGCCTCCCGCTCTGTCAGCCCCTCCGGCCCCAGAAGTGTCCAGTCCACCGACTCCGCCGTGCCCAGGGTGTTGCCCTCACCCTAAGAACCACATGCTCTCAATTCTGTTATGTTCTTTTTTTAATTTTCAAATCTTCCTCTTTCCAGCCTTTAGATGGAAACACGTAGAAATACAGAGCCCAGAGGAACCTGCAAACGCACAGACAGGAAGAAACGCCGCAGGACCCACGGCCCAGTTTCCTCCAGAAGAATTTGAAGGGGGGCGGGGAAGCCCACAGAGCAAAAGAGACATAAAAGATTAAGATTTATCAGCCAGACTCAGGATGTGGACTCTCTTAGGAGCTTAGTTCAACAACAAGAGAGATTTGTGGCATCGCTCAGACTGCCGGCTCTCGGATGATGTGCCCAAGTTACCGTTAACGTTCTTTAAGGTGTGGAAGTGACACTGTAGTTACGTTTTTGTAAAGAGCCTTGATTTTTTAGGGGTTATAGGCTGACCCGTTTATGAGTAAAATGCTACGATGTCTGGGGTTTGCTTCAGGATGGTAGGATGAGGGAAGTGCATGGACGGACGGGGAAGGACACAGGCGGGGGCGTGGGGCTCACGAGCGTCGCTGGACTGTTCTGACTCCTTCCGTGCGGACTGGAAGTTCCCCGTATCAGAAGCAGGGGCGTTTTCTTCTCCCTCGTTCACAGCTGACCTCGGCCGTCACCCAGCCTCCTCCCTCAACTCCCGTCCTGGTCTGCAGGCAAAACCCCAGCCGTGGAGAACCCTCCACCTGCCCCACAATGGCCTTAGGAAAAGCCCAGCTCTGCTGAGTGGCTCCCACCTGCTTCACAGCTGCACATCCCGGGGGGCCCCCGCACGCCACTGTCCGGCTCACTCCCTCCTCGGCCTCCCGTTACGCTCAGGGTAAACCCAGGCCCCTTTCCACGTCTTTCCAGCCTCGTCTCCCACCACGTGTGCCAGCCACGTCGGCTGCCATCTGCCCCGGAACTCATCAAACCCACCCCCACCCCAGGGCCTCTGCACAGGCAGCTCCTCTGACCCGGATCTGGGCACGGCTCTGCCCTCCCTCCCTGAAGTGCGGCCTCCCCGGCGAGGCCTTTCCACCCACTCAGCGTACGCAGCGCCCTCCCCTCCTCCCGCCCTCTGTCCCCTACCCACTGTATCCTCCTCCTTTGAGAACGTACCTTCTTGCGGGCAAGGCCCCCCAGACCTCACTCCCCCTGCACCCCCAATGCTGATCTGCACCTGCTACACAGTAGGCACCCAAGAAATGTGCAAAAGAGCACGACCCTGACTCTGATTTTGCTGTGCGTGCATGGCTGGTTTGTCCAGGGGCCCAGAAGGAAATGGCTAAATGCTAACTGCGGCATCTTCAAGTTGTGGGGTCGTGGGCGGCTTATCTTTTCTTCTTCTTACACTTTGCTGTCAGCTCCGGGCTTTGAGGGATAAATGTCCATCACCCTTATAATCAGGAACGTCTCTAAATACGATGTATTTACACAGGGAACACGGGAACAAGCTTTTGTGATAAATATTCGAGTAACACCGCAAGACCTAAAGACCCCTTGACGTCTCTCTGATCGCCTGCTCGCCCATCCCAGTCCCCCACCCCCAGGAGACCACCGCTGGCATTTTGGTGTGTCCCCCCCCCCCGAGCTTTTTCTGTGCGGTGTTGTGCATGCATGTGCGTCTAAGGAGATGTCTGGAGTTTGGGTGGGAGAGTTGTATCAGGCTGTGGGCAGCACTCTTTAACTTGCTTTCCCGCCCAGCAGCCTGTCTTGGAGGCCGTCTGTCTGCGCAGGTGGGTCTTCCCCGTCTCTGTAACACCTGCAGGGCGGTCCACAGGAGGGACCACCACTAGCTTGTCCCACCCTCCTTGATGGGCGCTGTCTCGTCGCACAGCACCCTTGGGCACGAGAGCACGTGCGCCGCATGGTGGTTGTGGGGGAAGTTGCTGGGGCACAGAACACGGTGCAGGTCAAGTGTGAGCAGACGCTGCAGATCAGCCTCCAAGGAGACGCGTTAAGTTAGGCTCCCAGTAGCTGTGTTTGGGGCTGCCGTTCCCACACCTTGTTGTACGTGAGCCGCTTAATAGTGCCCGGCATCTCAGCGTCAGCCAGTCCAGTAAGTGAAAACTGGCTCAACTTGCATCTCTATTTCCTCGTGGACTGAGAGTCTTTCCCTGTGTTTATGGCCACTGGAAACCCTCTGAACTGCCTATTCATTTCCTCATTTCCTCGTATTTTTTAAATTGGGCTGTTTGCTCTTTCTTATTGATTTTCTAAAGTCCTTTATTTACCACGGCAAAGCTTGTCTTAATAGCCAAAAGCACATGTGCGTGTGTGTGTGTGCACGTGTGTGCACTTAGCCAGACTTTGTTACAGGTTGTTTTTTTTTGGCAGGGGAGGGAGATAATTAGGTTTATTTATTTTTAATGGAGGGACTGGGGATTGAACCCCAGACCTTGTGCCTGCTAAGCACACGCTCTACCACTTGAGCAACACCCTCCCCCAACAGGTTTTTTTTTAATTGAAGTATAGTTGGTCTACAGTGTTGTGTAAGTCTCTGGAGTGTAGCATGGTGATTCAGTTATAAACACACACACACACACATATTGAGTTACTACAAGATCTTGAATGTAGTTCCCTGTGCTGCACAGTAGGACCTTATTGTTTATGTACCTTACGTATAACAGTTTGTAGCTGCAAATCCCGAAAGCTCCCAATTTACCCCTCCCCGCCTGTCACAGGTATTTTTTAGGAGCACCTTTTTAACTTATTGATTACTTTGATCATTTTAGGGTAAAGTTGTGGTGTGCTGTCCCCCAAAAGGAGGCCGACAGCCCACTGATCTGGGGAGACGGGAGGAATGAGGGAAGCCACCCAGTGGGTGTGGGTTCCACTCGGTGGGGTGGAGGCGTTCTGGAAGGAGACAGAGGCCGGGGCTGCCCAGCACAGTGGATCTGCTGGGGAACCGTTCACTCTAAGGTGGTGAACTTCATGTTCTGTGAGCTTTGCTGCAGTGAACTTTTTTAAAGGCACTAGATGCCGATGTTGGGGGAGCTGGGCGCTCTAGACCATCTGCAGCTTTTCTGTAGGTTTAAAATTATTCCAAAATGGAAAGGTTATTTGGGGGAGGGGCACTTAGGTTGTATATTTATTTTAATGGAGGTGCTGGGGATCAAACGTAGGGCCCCATGCATGCTACGCACGTGCTCTACCACTGAGCTGTACCCTTCCCCCTGAAAAGTTACTTAAAAAAATAAAAATCTGACTTGGGAAGAAAAAAAAAGTAGATGGGAAAGAAGAAAAGCAGCAAAGAGATACAGGAGGAAGGGATCAGGTGAGGTGGGGGAAGATAGCTGGCTCACAGTCAGAGCCAAGGCGGGCGCTGGCCCGGTCACCCCGGGAGGCCTGACGGGGCTGGGAGCGGGGACGGTGCCGGGGCCCCCGGGCGGGACGCTCGGCGCGGAC